TACAAAGGAGTTCCCATAAGACTATCAGCTGATTTCTCAAAAGAAACCTCGCAGGCAAGAAGGGGCTGGCAAGGAGTTTTCAAAGTCATGAAAGGCAAGGACCTACATGCAAGATTACTCTATCCAGCAAAGCTATCCTTTAGAACAGAAGGGTAGATAAAGTGCTTCCCAAATAAGGTCAAGTTAAAGGAGTTCATCATCAGCAAGCCCTTATCATATGAAATGTTAAAGGGACTTATCTAAGAAATAGAAGAAGATCAAAACTATGAACAGTAAAATGACAACCAACTCACAACTGTCAAGAACTGAACCTAAAAAAAAAAAACAAAAACAAAAACAAACTAAGCAAACAACTAGAACAGGAACAGAATCACAGAAACAGATCACATGGAGGGTTATCAGCAGGGAGCGGGGAAAATGGGGGAAAAGGTACAAGGAATAAGAAACATAACTGATAGGTACAAAATAGATGGGGGGAGTGGGTGTTAAGAATAGTATAGGAAATGGAGAAGCCAAACATCTTGTCTGTATGATCCATGGACATGAACTAAGGGGGGCGGGGAACTGGTGGGAGGAGGGATGCAGGGCTGAGAGGGATAAAGGGGAGAAAAAATGAGACAATTGTAGTAGCATAATCGATAAAGTATACTTTTTAAAAAAGCAAAAGCACATGAAAAGCCTGGCTTTTCATGCTCAAGGGATGATATGCATATTCCCCACAGGAGGGGACCCTGATTGGAAAGAGCTACCTCTTGGAGACTTGCCAAGTATTTCAACAGCAAGTTATGCAGGCAGCTGGCACCCACCCTACATGGCCAGGAATAAGTAGGCCGCACCTGGACTGTTCAGAGGCAGTCCTGCCTGAACATATCCTGTCAGGCCCTGTGACACTGGGAAGGAGAAATGCCCAACACAGCAGCTAGTGGGTAGGGCCATGCAAGTCCCCATAAACTCTGGCCCCCAGGCCACCCATCCCCTGCTTCATTTTTGCTGGGGACTGAGAAGAGAGAAGTGCTCTGAGCTTAGGCAAGCATCACATCTTGGAGACATGACCACTATCTGTGGCAGAGGCAAGCCAATACTTTGGGAGTCCAAGCAAGGAGACATATTGATGACTACTCAGAGCAAAACATACATTTAACAGCCAGTTGAGAGCTTCACTAATTCCTCTGGTCTCTGAATAATCATGCCACCAGCACATCGCAAAATCGGTACCACCGGGCCCAGGCCCCATCCATGATCATGCCCTAGGACCAGTTTATCTTTCAAGCCCCCTGCTGGTGTTCACCTCAATGTGGGTTTATAGAACTTTAGTGCTGGAAGGACATGGAAAGACCTGAGGTTTGACCCAGATCCAGAAAGGTCTGGGATCTGCTCCCTAGATATACTGCCAAACCTTTTGGTCACCCTCATAGCACAAGACACAGCAGTTTCCTTCCCAGTTAGGGTTCTTGTCTACTGGGTCACTCAGTCCCCTAATCGTGACCTATTCTAGGTTGGAGGGAGAGACGGATGCTACTATGTGACTGGAGAACAGCACTACTTAGACCAAGGTCAGCATGGGCCAGTTAGTTTCTCTTGGTTTCAATTCTGGAATGACCCCAAGGAGCTGCCCCAGACACATGAGGTGGTCATCACAGGGTCCACAAAAAACTGCCGGTTAAAGTGAAGGCCCTGTCAGCAGTACCCTCTCCGTGGGTGAAAGGAGTCGCTTCCTCAAGAGAAAGACAGGAGTACTTAAGGGGTTTGTTTCTGAGAAGCCAAAGCTGTACACTACATGTGGAACATGGCATAGGGCTCCGCAGCAAAGGCCATGGCAAAGGGTCTAGGTCAGGTAGCTGCGCTCAGCCACAGTTCACTCACCAATGAACAGCAGCACAAGGATGACAATGAGGACCACGAAGAAGGTGTTACTATAAGTCACTACCAACTCCACCAGGCGGGACTTGAAAACCTTCTGCCATCTATGAAGAAAACAAAAAACACAGAGGCTGTAGGAAAAGAACACACTTGAATCAGAGCCTTGAGAACAGAAACTCAATTTTGCAGTCTTCTCCAATGGTCGAATATCCTATATAGACTCAGCCTCAGCTGCTTGCATTTTCCCAATTTATGACATTCACCCAACAATGTTTTAAAAAAAGATGCGTGTCCATAAATAGAAATTTCTAGAAAACCAGTTTTAAACATTGGTAGGCTCTGGGGGAGGAAATGGGAAACTCACTTTTCATTGTATTTCTCTATGTAGTATTCAAAATGCTTGTCACGTACACATTTTTTTACATTGTTTTTCCACATGACCAAGCTTGGTTCATCTAGAATTCCACCACCCTGGATTATAAGGAAGCAGACCTAACCTCCCTTCGGTTCCCTCCACAAGTATTTAGGATATAGCTCTATCAGAAAAGAGCCTCTGAAAATGGCTAATGTAAACACAACGCCATCACCAAACCTCAAAAAAATCCATAAGTAGAATAAAGAAATTTTTTCAAAACACACACAAGAAAAGAAAATCAGGAAGAATCCATTATCAGAGCCAGAATCCCAAAGTCCAACTGCTGCATTTCTTAATAGCTGGTCTGTTTGAGTCCAGAGAGACAAGGTTCCAATTCTGCATTTATTTTAGAGGGAGAGAGGAAGGGGGAGAGAGAAAAACACTGATTTGTTGTCCCACTTATTTATGCATTCATGTGCCTGACCAAGGATTGAACCGACAACCTTAGTGTATCAGGATGACGCTCTAATCAATCAAACTACCTGGCCAGAACTGTATACTTTCTGTGGTATCACATCAGGTGTCTGTATTTTTTATTAAAAACAGTTTTTAAAAATATCTGTGGAGACTCAGCCTCATTTGTAATGTTCTAATTTAAGTCAGAATGTCTTCATATGTTATATGCAATTAAAAATTAATCTCCAACTAACTTTTAACAGGTCTTCTATGCACTGAAAGGAAATATGGCTTCACCCTTCATAAGCTGAGTAATGCTCATGAGGCTACTGCGTAATGCCAGTGAGGCTACTTAGTAGGACAGAAGTCACCAAATCAGCAACAACGTGATCCTGTGGTGCAAGTCTTCTGGATCCCACAGCACCATCCTCCGAACGCCAGGGACCCAAGGGAAGGCAGGAGGGCATCATTCCCAGAACCGTAGTAGAGCCAGGCCTTCTCCCGCTTTGGTGCATTCAGAAGACCAGAAGGCAAGATGCACAGGAACGGTGAAGACGGCTGGCAATAGTAAACACAACCCCCGCCATCCCCCACCCCAGACACATTCTACTTATTTCTGTCAGGCCCCAATTCCAGAGTCCACGCATAAGCTGTGGGTCTGGGCAACAGTCACCTTACTTGTCTGCCTACTTGTGCCATAGGCCATACCTTTTGGGTGAAATGAAGGGAATGCAGAGAAGTAGCACAACAAAGACCTCTGCATAAAGGAAGGTGGCAACCGCAGTCCACTGCAGACTCATCCTGTTGCTAGGTTTCCAACAGGGAGATGTGAGCTTGTTTCCTACAGGGCACAAAAGGAACAGGAATCATAAAAACTGGACAGCCATGCTAACCTGGAAACGGGGCTCACTCCGCAGGGAGACTAGAGCATTCATGCACAAAGGCCTGCCCAACTTCCCCCTGCCGGGGCGGAGTTACTTTGCTGCCCTGCAGTACGTACGGTAACACGTCCAGAGCCACCTTTCTGTACAATTCCTTTCCCCGTGGAGTCCAAGAAACTCCTTATGCCTGTTTAGATTGCGAACGCGTTTTTAATAAAAATTATATAGACAAGAGGAAATTCTCAACACCCATCAAGCCCGCTCCCTTCCCAGCTTCGGGGACTCCCAGCCAGACCCGCGGCGGCAGTATCTCAGTAACGCACTTTCTCCAAAAGCCAGGGCGCTTCCCCGACCCTTGACCCACGTCCTAGGAAAGCCAGGAGGCCCTTCCCTGCCAGACCTTCCAAAGGGGCCCAGAGAAAACCAGCAGCTCCCTCTGGGGCTAGAGCGGAGGCTGACAGGCTTTCCAACTGCCGCGCCTGCCTCCGACGGGGCTGGAGGACTCGGAGTAGCTAAAAAAGCCCACAAGAGCGACTCCTACAGGGCGGGAGTCAGGGCCAAGAGCAAATGCAGTCTGGAGTAAGCACCTCAGGGCCCCTCAGAGAAATTTCTAGAAGCTGTCTCCTCAGAAGCCAAAGGATAACCCTCACAGTAGCCCCCGTCGGCCACAGCTCCCACCAGGCATGGGGCACCCCGCACGCAACCCCCAGCGGCCCCCAAGTGTGGCCCCGGCTCTGACCTGGCACGCCCTCCCAAAACCCCACCCCCGGAGACTCCTCCGGAGGGGCCTGGCCACCGCTCCCCGCCAACGCAGCCGGCCCTCACGCCCCCACAGCCCAGCTCCACCCACTGCCGCCCAGACTTCCCTCCACGCAGCCCTGCCCCTACACTCTTGGCTCGGCCCTCGGCCCTGGGCCCCCTTCACACTACCCGCCGCTCCCCGTTGTCGAAAGCTGGGGGGACCTCCGCAGCCCCGCTCACCGAGTTTCCCCACAGACTCGAGCACGCTCCTCCGCTGCCGCCAAACTCTCCCACTCGGGCACTGGCCCCGCCCCTTCCCACGCAGACGGAAGCCGGAAGCGCAAGCAGGACGCTGCCCCACCCCCAACCGAAACGAAACCCTGTAGGCTCCGCCCACGGCCGCTTTCCGCCCCGCCCCCCCCGGCCGAAGCGCCGACGCCTAGGCCTGAGGAAGGAGCGGATCTTTGGGTGCGCAGGGAGGCGGGGCGAGTCCTTGGCGGGAAGACGGAGGGGGGGGCCGCTCCTCTAGCCCGCGAGGTCCTCCTACGTCTCTGTGGTCCAGGGAGGGGGCGGGGTCCGACAGTGGGGCGAGAACGGGGTGGGGCGTGGTACGCCCGGGCTCCGCCTCCCGCCCCTCCTCCGCCTCCTCCCCTTCCACCGACTCGCCCCTGGGGAGGGGTGGGTGGGTGGGGATTCTGGGCGGGTGGCGGAGTCACTGTCGCTTCAGCAAGGCTGTGGAGAGGACGGACGCGCCTGGTGCCCCGGGGAGGGGCGCCACCGGGGTAGGAGGAGGAGGTAGAGAAGAAGAGACGCCCTGTCTGCCCGAGCCCTCTCGAGGTTCTGACCCCAGGGGCTAGGAGACTGATAAGTTCCTCCACCTCCACTGCCTGAAGAGACCGTGACACTGGAGGGACCTGAGCCCACCGCACCAGGGGCCCCAGCACCGCCCCAGTGGCCTAGAGCAACAGTCTCAGGGACCACTGCAAGGTTTCCAGTTGCCTAGACAACGAGCTGGGGTCAGAGCAACAACCATTCCAGCCATCTGCCTCGACTGCTGGCTCAGACACCCGTCCCAGCCCTGTGCATCCAGCCCAAGTGACATGCCGGTGCTCTCCACCCCCCGGCCCTCGCGGGTGACCACGCTGAAGCGCACAGCTGTGGTCCTGGCCCTCACGGCCTATGGAGCCCACAAAATCTACCCCCTGGTGCGGCAGTGCCTGGCTCCGGCCAGAGGCCCTCAAGTGCCTGCAGGAGAGTCCACGCAGGAGGCCTCCGGGGCCACTTCGGCCACAGCGGCCAAGGCCGGTGTGAACCGAGTGTTCTTGCAGCGACTCTTGTGGCTCCTGCGGCTGCTCTTCCCCAGGATCCTGTGCCGGGAGACTGGGCTGCTGGCGCTGCACTCAGCCACCCTGGTGAGCCGGACTTTCCTGTCAGTATATGTGGCCCGCCTGGATGGACGGCTGGCCCGCTGCATCGTGCGCAAGGACCCCCAAGCCTTTGGTTGGCAGCTCCTGCAATGGCTCCTCATCGCCCTCCCAGCCACCTTCATCAACAGTGCCATCCGCTACCTGGAGGGCCAACTGGCCCTCTCTTTCCGAAGCCGTCTAGTGGCCCACGCCTACAGCCTCTATTTCTCCCAGCAGACCTACTACCGAGTCAGCAACATGGATGGGCGGCTTCGCAACCCTGACCAATCCCTGACAGAGGATGTAGTGGCCTTTGCTGCCTCTGTGGCCCACCTCTACTCCAACCTGACCAAGCCACTCCTGGACGTGGCTGTGACCGCCTACACCCTGCTTCGAACGGCCCGCTCCCGTGGGGCTGGCACGGCCTGGCCTTCGGCCATTGCTGGCCTCGTGGTGTTCCTCACAGCTAACGTGCTTCGAGCCTTCTCACCCAAGTTTGGGGAGCTGGTGGCAGAGGAGGCCCGGCGGAAGGGGGAGCTGCGCTACATGCACTCTCGTGTGGTGGCCAACTCAGAGGAGATTGCCTTCTATGGGGGCCATGAGGTGGGGCAGATTGAGGTGTTGAGCGTGAAGGAAAGCATGTGGCCCAGGGGCAGGCAACTGTGAATGGCGGGGAAGGCCCAGGGTCGGCTGGGGTGGGTGCCAGAGGCCAGGGAAGGCCACAGGAGAGGGAGGCTGGGGACGCCCAGGGCCGGGGGCAGCCCAGACTTAGGCACAGAAATGGAGAAGCAGGAAGGCTGGGTGGGGACCGTCCTAGGCTGGCTGCCTGCATGCTCCAGGCCACTTCTGCTTCCTCTCCTCTAAGGCTGTCCTGGCTTTGGAGCTGCTTGGAGCTGGGGATCCTAGCGGTTTCAGATGCTAGAGCTCCTGGCTCACCCCATTCCTGCAGTCAGCTGGAAGGAGGCTCCTGCTGTCTGGGAGCAGCGAGTGGGACGTGGCCTGCTGCCCAGCCCCTCCTGGGCCCCAGGGCCCTTTGAAGGCCGGCGTCCAGCCGAGCTGGCCGGCCAGGCAGGCAGGCAGGCATTATGGGCATGACTCAGCCCAAGCGGAGGTTAATGAGCAGCAGCCAGCGCGGCGGCCACAGCAGTGGCAGCACTCAGCACTCTGGGTCAATGGCTTCTCTGCCTAAGCTTGAGGGCCAGCCGGGCTGCCGGCAAGGCCTCCTCCCTGAGGCTCTGAGCCAGGGAAGCTGGGCCAGGGCCGCCACCTTGTCGGAACGCACTTCCTGCCCGCCCAGCGGCCACCCTGCCCCCCCTCCTTGTGGCTGTCCTTCCGCCTGGGTCCCAGGGCTCAGCTCCCTAGTGGGCCGGGGCAGGGGCGGGGGCAGGGGCGGGGGCCAGGGTAGCCAGGGCCCAGAGCTTGGTGCTGGGGAAGGTTACTCCAGGCCAATGCTCCCTTTATCTCGCCCCAGCCCCTCCCCTTCCTCGTGCCTGGGGTTGCAGCTGCCTCGGGCCCTGTTCCCTTGCTCCCTGCAACTCTGGTTTCAGTTCTGAGTACTTCAGGGAGGGGGAGGGGTGCAATGGCATCCACGTCCTCAAGGCCTCTGTGTGCTCCCTGGATCAGGTGGTCTCTTGCCCCTGGACCTTGCCGCACTGGCAGCGCATTGGACTCCAGGTTAGGAGGAAAGCTCCTGGTCTGCAGCCGCAACCCCCTCTCATCCTCTCTTGCACGCCAGGCTGCAGGGCCTTGGCAGGCAGCCGTGGCCTTGGGTGAGGCGCTTGGCACATTACCCGCAGCTACATTGTCAGCCTCAGCCGGCATTCCTGCCAACTCCCAGCACGAGTCAGGATTGCCAGGGCGCTCAGAGGAGGCGTGCTCACTTCAGGAACAGGAGATTGGGCTTGAGGCAGAAACACAGGATGCAGAGGACCTATATGGTAAAGGCAGAAGAGAGATCACTGGCACTTTGAAGGACCGTCTCTGGGCTAACCTCAGGAGACAGTGTGTTCACCAGGAGGGTTCAGTGAGGGGGGCATGCATGGTGTGCATCCACAGTCTGTCTCTTTAGGCCTCGGCCAAAGGGTTAGAAAGCAGCATGGGATGACAGGCCCCCATGGGTGGTGGGTTGATGTTTCTTATTGTGCAGGCATGTGGCTCACCCTAGTTCCACTGGCAAGTGTCCCGGTGGACCCCGGCCCAGGCTCAGACTAACAGGTTAGGGCAGAAGTGACTGGCTGGCTGGCAGGCAGGCAGACAGCAGAGTATTCTGTCTGTACTGAGATTTCAACGAGGAAGGTTATTTAGACACATACATACACACAACCTCTCGTTGGATTCAGAGCAAGGTAAACCTTTTTTAATAAGTCAAAGCATCATTTATAAAAATCTGGCTCTCCTGATGGCTCTGCCAATGTAGTCCAAATTCCACATCTCTTGCTACCTTCAGGCTGTGTGACCTTGGGCAGGTCACTGTCCCTCTGGGCTTCTGTAGTGTCCTATATACAGTGGAAATGAGCATACTGGTGGGGTGGCACGTGGTGAGAATCAAATGGAGAGTCAGGTGTAAAAGCAATTGGCAAAGGAAATGGTGCCAGGCTGGGCAGCTGTTGTCAGTCAGGGGTTTGGAAGGCAGAGCTAGAATGCACGATCCTGTAATGGGCTGAGAAATCCATGGCCAATGGGCACCTTGCCGTGACCACTTCCTGACACCTCCAGCCCCTCTACCTATCTGGATGCTGCTGCCAGGGGAGAGCCTCTTTCTCTCCCACTCCCTTTCCTGCTCTCTCTTCTCCAAGCCTGTACCCCTTCTGAGATGGCAAGTGGCGACCAACGTAGGAAAGGGGAGGGGGCGGGAGGGGAGGCCCATCCCACTGGAGTCCTCAGCAGGCACTCAGGAGGGGAGAGCATTAGGCTAGTTCAGGGGCATGCCCTCCAGGTATCAGTGGGAGAATGCAGTGGAAGTTTCTCACCCAAAGGATCCCCGGGGAAGGTACAGGAGGCAGGGCCCAAGTAGACTGTTGAACCAAGTTCTTCAAAACAAAGTACTGCCTTGCTTTCTTGTACTGCCCTTTACTGAGTTCACGCTAGCCCCCTAGGAGTTGTCCAAAAAAACAAGGAAGGTGGCTGCCCTCGGCCAATGTTCAGAAGCTGCTCAGGGCAAAGGGCATGGTGAGTTTTCCAACCATAGAGGTAGTGGAAATAGGGGGCTGGAATGGGCCTCAGCAGGTAGGATCATAAGTCCCTTCTTCACCACCGCTATACCTCAGTGCCGTGACTTCAGGCAATCCCATACAGTCCCCCAGCCCGAGTTTGAGACCTTTCCCTGTAAACGTGGCCCAGTCACCACCCCCATCTCTCAACCTTGCCTTGGCCATCAGATGGCACAGCATGCATGTTTGGCGCTTGGGGCCTCTTGCTGTTGCCTCCATGTTCGTTACCATGAGACCTCTCAGGCTCTCTCTGTCACCCCCTCCCCGGCAGGTGGAGCTGGCCCTGCTGCAGCACTCCTACAAGGCCCTGGCTTCACAGATCAACCTCATCTTGCTGGAGCGCCTGTGGTATGTCATGCTGGAGCAATTCCTCATGAAGTACGTGTGGAGTGCCTCAGGCCTGCTCATGGTGGCTGTCCCCATAATCACCGCCACCGGCTACTCAGAGTCAGGTGAGTCAGCACTCCCAGGGGACAGGAGCAGGGCCCTGGATGCTAGGCTCCAGAGGGCCCAGTGCTCAGCTGGCCCATCTGCCCCTTCCACTGGCGAGGCCTTGAGGCCCAGCTGGCTTCCTAGAGGTCACCACAGGTCACTCTCCCTTGCTGCCTTCCACTCTGCTTGAGTCTCCCCTTGACAGCATCTCACGCTCTCGGTAGCATTCAGCTGAGCCCAGGAACTGCAACTCAGGAACAACACATGTCCCCTCACCAGGTGTATGCACCCTCACCCAGCTGTGCCTGTCCTCAGCCCAACTGTGACTCCACGGTGGGAGGATGGGATAGTACCTTGAGCAAGCCCCTTTACCCCTGGGCCTTGGCTCTCTCAGGTCTCAAACAACTCTGGTAGGTTGCAGAGCCTAGAGGCCTCTGCCCTACGGCCTAGGCCTGTTCTGCCTGCTACTTTAGCGATTGGATGGATCATCAGGATTCCCATTTTGTTCTTCTCCTGGCTTGCAACATATTCATTCTATTTGCAGCCTTTTCATGGTCGCCCTTTCAAAGATTAATTTGCGTGTACACCGAGAATAGCCTAGGTCAGCAATTTTCAGCCTGTGCGCCACGGTGCACTGGTGTGCCGCAAGAGGCGCACTGGTGTGCCGCAAGAATTTTAAAAACATGCAATACCGGACTATTTAGTCAGGGCGCTGACCTCTTTTCCCTTAGGTTGTCAGGTAAAAAAAAAAAAAAAATGACAACAGCCAACACAACAATAGCCATCCACTGTGAATGTATCAAAATTACACCTAATTTTTTGTCACGTCAGCTAAAAATATATTTTTGGGTGTGCCACAGAATTTTAGTAATAAGTTTATGTGTGCCATGAGATGAAAAAGGTTGAAATCACTGGTCTTGGTTAATCAATAGCTCCTCCTGGCTCTTACAACACTTCTACACCAGGACCAGCCCCAACTGATGTGTTGATGTAGCCCAGTGTCACATTTGCTTTCCCGTGTTTTTATACGTGGCTATTGCTTTATCAAGCCAATGCATGTTTAAATTCATCTCCATGTTTACCGATTTCTCTGCTCACTAGTCCTTTCCTGCAGCCTAGTTACCTTCCTCCAGATAGACATCTTTCAGTTCTTTCTGCAAGGCTTTTGTCATGGGCACTTCACAATTATTTTGTTGCCTGAAAATGTCTTCATTTTACCCTTTTTCCAGAACTAAAATATAGCCGGATGTGGGAGTCCAGGTGGATGATTATTTGCTCTCAGCCCTCTGACAACATTTAATTGTCTCTGCTGGAAAATGTGTTATCAGCTTAACGCCCCTCAGCAGCCTGGATTGTCTCTCTGGTTGCTTTTAGGTCTTTCTTTCTCTGGTATTCTGCTGTTTCGCTTGGAAGTGTTAACCGGTGGGTTTTGTATTTATTCTGCTTGAGAGTGGTATGGCCTTCAAATATTCAGATTTTTTTAATCGTTCAGAAAAATTCTCAGCTGTTATTTTTTCAAATATTGACTCACTCTTGTTCTTTCACTTGTTCCTTCTGGAACTCCTGCTGGACTTCTCACTCTCTCCTCTGGCTCTTCCACTCTTTTCACTGATTCCCATCCAGCACTATCTGTGCTGGATCCTGGGGGATTTCTTCAGGTCTTCCTGCTCACTCATTCACCAGTTTTCTCTTCACCTGGGTCTAATATGAAATTTTTTAAAAATCTCAGTGACTATTTCTATCAAGTTCTATTTGATTCTCTTTCAAATAGAAATTTCAAATTCTTTTGGCAGGTGTCTGATTTTCTCGTCTTTTGACTGTTCCTTTTATGCTGTGTATCATTAATCATACTTATTCCACAGTCTCTATCCCACTCTTGGGTTATCTGAATTCTTGGGGATCTAAGCCAGCTTGATCTTCCATCTGCCAGGCTTCACCCATGGTGAATTCTTCCCTTGTGGGTTTTGGGACGGGACTTCCTCGGGAACCCTATTGACCTAACAGGAGGGTGCAATTCCCAGTGCATATTGGCTCTTGTTTTGGCCAAGCACTCCTGGTAATTAACCACTTGGAGGCCATTTACATGTTCACTTCTCAGTTCGAGGAGAGGGGTTCCTCAACTTGGAGGTAGCATTCACTTGAGTCCCAGACACATAATTACCAATTCTTAGAGGCGACCTTCTGTTCCTTTCGCCTAGAGCTCTGGCTACACGACCTGTCTCCTCAGTCTCTAGGGATTTCACTGGTGCACCTGGCTGCTGGCTTCTCTGTGGGCTCCTGGGAATTCGCCTTGCTTTCCTACAAGCACAGCTCTGCTTTCAAAGGTGCTCTATTCCATGCAGCTTGGTAGTAAGGGGGTTTTCGGTTATGTAGAGAGAGAGGCTGACTTGTTTTAGAAGTTTCTCTGAGTCTCTCCTATTGGCGCCTCTACTTTGGGGCTTCCATACCCTCAGCTGTCTGTCCATCTCTGGGTGACCCCCAAAAGGGAAGATCTGATTGGACGGGGATAGTTACTTCCCACCAATGGACCTACAAAAAGGGTGGCCCTGATTGAGAGACAGGTGCCAGGCCCAGTCTGCATACCCGGTCTAGCGCATGGGGACAGACCCATGAGGAAACAGACCTATGGATTCTGTGAGGAGGTGCCTGCAGCCACTTCCCTCTGCTCCTGGCACCGGGCACAGCCCGGCCTGTCTAGTGCCTGAGGCCTCTTCCTCCTCCAAAGGCCTAGGACTTTTTGGATCCTCTGCTGTGCCAGGTTTCATGGGTGATTTAAGAAGCCTGAGCTCCTGTCCCCAGCCTCGTAGCTTTCATAGCCAATTACCTGTGAAAATGTGACATTCTCCTATCTCCCTTGCTCACTCCACCTCCTTCTTATGGGCCTCCTTGTTATTTTTTAATGGTTTTTTACTTTTCAGTTACAGTTGATATACAATATTACATTAGTTTTAGGTGTACACCCCAGTGAGTAGATATTATGTAACTTACTAAGTGATCATCCTGGTATGGCCTCCTTGTTATACCTCCAGAACACCGGGCAGGCTTCTAACTCAGGGCCTTTGCACAGGCTGCTCCCACCGCCAGGAATGGTTTTTCCCCTGAAGTCCCGCCCTCTTTCTATCAGACTTTGGTCACAGGCACCCTCTAGATGAGGCCTGCCCCGCCCGTCACCCCACCTCTCTCTCCCCCTTCTCCACCTCTCTGCTCTCCCAAGCACTGAACACCCTATCTATTCCGTGTATCCGTCTGGTTTATAGTCTCCCTGCCTCTTTAAACTGGGAGGTCAATGAGGGCAGGGATTTTTGTCTCTGCTCCAGGTGCTTCAAGGAAGCTGAGAACACTGGGGGCCAGTGGGAAGATGCAGGCATTTATCAACTGGGAAAGATTTAGATGCCTTTGCCACACTTGCCTGCTGGCCCTGCAAAGCCAGAGGGGCCAGGAGAGGGGCAGCCTGGCCGCGAACAGCCGCTGTGTGTCCTGCTCTGGAGCCCTGGTCTTAGCTGCCCAAGGGCAGTTCATGCTGTCTCCAGCAAGGTGCCAGCTGTTGCCAGGATGCCCCAGGCACCGGCAGAACCTTCCACTTTATATGTAGTCAGTCCAGCTCTCAGGACATCCTGGGAAGAGGGCTTGTGTCCCCCTTCCTCTCGCAGGCTGTGTCTCTGGGGACACAGTGGGGAAGCCCAGGGCCTTAGACTGACAGGATTAATGACCCTCTCCCCTACCCAGTTCCCTGGATACCTGGGTCAGGCCCCAGAAGGTGATGCGAAATACACCAGCCCCATCGCATCCCCTTTCTACCCCACATTGCACCCTTGCTGCTCCGGAGGCCACCTCCTTCCCACTGCTTCGGTCTCAGGAGCCCTGGCTCCCCCTGGACAGCCCCAGTGGTCACTGCTCGCTCACCCATACCCGGTACCCTCAGAGTCAGCATTCCCCTTGCTCCTCAACGCCACTTCTAGAACATTCCTTGTGTAAAAGCCCTGCCCCTCTGGGTTTTCCAAGGGTCAAGGAAATCAAGGCCATTGATAAGAGAGGGTTGAAGGGAGCAACCACGGGGTCTAGACTGAAACAGCAAAGCAAGTCAAGACAGGAATGGACTCCAAGGAGAAGTTGGGACACCTGGGCTGGCTGTTCTCATGGAGGCCACCGGGGGAGGTGAGGGGAGAATAGGGGCAGTAGTGCAGGTCTGAGAGGGGATAGTCATGCATAAGAGGCTTATGCATAAGGGTGCAACAGTTCTGGGTGGCAGAGGATGAGGTGCAGGTGCGGCCCCAGAGGGCATGCTGTGAATAGTGCAGGACACGGGGCAAGGGCAGTCTAGGGAGAAGGAGCTGGGTATGCCAAAAGAAAAAAAAAGTCACATGCCTAGTGACTCACTTTCTTATCCACATTATTGAGATGTACGTAACGTGCCATATAGTTCAGCCTCTTAAAGTATTCCGATTTAGTGGTTTTTAATATATTCACAAAGTTATGCAACTATCACCGGCATCTAAGTCCAGAACATTGTCACCATCCCAGAAAGAAAGCCTGGACCCATTAGCAGTCACTCCCCACCCCACCCCCAGCTCCTGGCACCCACTAATCTTTGCGTCACTATGGACTGGCCTCTTACGGACATCATATAAATGGAGTCACACAATATGTGGCCCTTTGTGTCTGGCTTCTTTCACTCAAGAGAATGTTTTCAAGGGTCACCCACGTTGTACGGTGAATCAGAACTTCCTTCCTCTTGGTGGCTGAATAATAGTCCATTGTATATGTGTACCTCTATCTCTTTATCTATTCATTCATTGATGGACATTCTGGGCTGTTTCCACTTTTTGGCTGTTAGGGAAATGGCGCTGTGATCACTTGTGTGCAAATTTCTGCAGGGATGTATGCTTTTGTTTCTCCTGGATATATACCTAGGAGTGGAATTGCTGGGCCATATGGAAACTCTGTTTAACTTTTTGAGAAACTGTCAAACTGTTTTCCACAGCAGCTGCACCATTTTACATCCCCCCCAGCAGTGTCTGAGGAGTCCCGATTTCTTCACTTCCTCACCAACACTTGTTATCTCTTTAATTATAGGTCTCCTAGTGGGTGTGAAGTTGTATCTCATTGTGATTTTGACTTTCATTTCCCTGATGACTCGTGATGTTGAGCATCTTTTCATGAGCTTATTGGTCATTTGTATATCTTTGATAGACGATAGAAATGTCTATTAAGATATTTTGCCCATTGTTTAATTGGGTGGTTTGTCTCTTTGTTGTTGAATTGAAAAAGTTCTTTATGCCCTGGCTGTGTGTCTCAGTTGGCTGGAGTGTCATCCTGTGTACCAAAAAGGCTGCGGGTTTGTTCCCAGTCAGGGAACATGCCTGCATTGTGGATTTGATCCCAGGCCAGGGTGCATACAGGAGGCAACTGATCAATGTTTCTCTCTTACATTGATTTTTCTCTCCCTCTCTCATCCTCCTTTCCTCTCTCTACAAAGTCAATAAACATGTCCTCAGGTGAGGATTGAGGGGAAAAAAGCTGAGAAGTTCTTTACATGTTCTGAATACTAGACCCTTATCAGATATATGATTTACAGATATTTTCTCCCAATCTGTAAGTTGTCTTTTCAGTTTTTTGATGCTTTCCTTTGGTGCCCCAAAGTTTTAAATTTTGGTGAAGATCATTTATCTGTTTTTATTTTGTTGCTTGTGTTTTTGGTGTCATATTTAAGGAGCCATATCTAATCCCAGGTCGTGAAGAGTTACCCCTGCCTTCTCTAAGAGTTTTGTAGTCTTATCCCTCACGTGCAGGTCAGTGCTCCCCTTTGAATTAATTTTTGTGTGTGGTGTGAGGTAGGGGCCATTCCTTTGCATGTGGATACCCGTGTGTCTCAGCTCCAGTTGCTGGAGAGATTCATCTTTCCTCTAGTCAATCAGTTTTAATTTTCCACTGCCCCTGCCCCGCCCCTCCCCTGTGATCCACAGATTCAGAAGCTGTGAAGAAGGCAGCCTTGGAGATGAGGGAGGAAGAGCTGGTAAGTGAACGCACAGAGGCCTTCACCATTGCCCGAAACCTCCTCACAGCTGCCGCAGATGCCATTGAGCGGATCATGTCATCCTACAAGGAGGTACACTGCCTCCCCCCAAATCTACCGCCGCCATACCCTCCATCCCACCCCCAGATGGCAGGAGCTGAGCCAGGGTCGCCCTTCCCACAGGTGACAGAGCTGGCCGGCTACACAGCCCGGGTACATGAGATGTTCCAGGTATTTGAAGATGTCCAACACTGCCGTTTCAAGAGGCCCGGGGAGCCAGAGCCAAAGGACGCTCAGACAGGGTCTGGAGCTGTGGTCAGGTCTGGTGTCCGTGTGGAGGGGCCCCTGCAGATCCGAGGTAAGGGTACCCTCCCTAAGGAGGCCCCCCTGGTACCTCCCAGTGCCACCCAGAAGGCAGGATCTTTGAGCTGTGCCCCCAGGGAGGGCTTCCTGGGCAAGCTGAGGCTCCCACAGCCTTCCTTCCAAGAGTAGTCGCTGCTGACTAACATACTCACTTCCCAGTTCCTTCCAGGTGCCCTGGTGGGAATTTCTCTTTGCAAAAGAAAGATCCCTGAGTGGAGGGAGTCACTTGCCCATAGCGGCAGCAAGAGAAAGTTAAAGGCTACAGTAGGGGCCAGGATGCTGTGGAAGAGGAGCCATAGCGTTTGAGCCGCCACTAAGATGGTGCCAGGAGGGCAGGGTTTCAGCGCGGGAGCGGTCTCCATGCCTCGGATTCCAGAAGCCATATAAATGGCTTTGTCCCTCCCTACCCAGAACACAACACCAGATACTGGGGGGAGGGGTCTGCTTGTAGGATGACCCCCTGTACTCCCAAGGGACCTTGGACCACACACTGGCATGTTGTTGGGAAGGAGGGTAATGTGGAAGCTACCAGAAGGTAAAGGGAGTGCTGCTCCCTCTCTTCCTTCCCTGTGTTCTCTCTGCAGGCCAAGTGGTGGATGTCGAGCAGGGGATTATTTGCGACAACATCCCCATCATCACGCCCACGGGAGAGGTGGTAGTGGCCAGCCTTAACATCAGGGTAGGTTGGACGGGCTGGGCCAGGCTGGGCCGGGCCGGGCCGGGCCGCGCCATGGGGCCTGGGGCCTGACCTTCTGCCTCTGCAAGCCCCAGCCCTTGGCATCCAACCTGACTAGCCTGGGGAGGCTCGTGTTGTCAGCAGCCATTGTCCCAAGATCTACGTGGCATGTGAGCTAAGGTCAAGATGAAAGACCAACGTGTCTCTGCCTGTTAGTTGCGGGGCAGTGGAGACAGAACTGATAACAGAGACCCAGGATTACCAGGACTGGCCAAGAGTCATCTGAGGATTCCTGGCCCTATCGTGCCGGCCCCGCCCCTCCCCACCCCAGTCCCATAGAAACCCAGAGCTTGGGGACTCCCGTTCAGCTCCAGTCGTGGTGGAAGAGATTGCCCTTCACCGACCCGGGCTTGGGGTCCCACCCATCTGCTTCAACAAGACCCCAGTGCAGGTGTGCAGTCTGGGCCCCCGTGAGGGCCCTCAGCCACTACATAGGCCATCTGTGGGAAGGAAGCCCTGGTGGCTGATATCCACCAGTCACCTGTGTCCCCAACCAGTGCTTTGGTTGGAGAGTGATGGAATGAAGAGGCGACCTGCGGTGGGGGGCAGGGAAAGAAGTGAGGGAGAGTCTTGTTCACTCATTCATTTACTTATTCAACCAGTATTTTCTTAGCCCCAGTCTGGGCACGGGAACCCAGAGGTAAATCAGAGAGGCCCTTGCCCTCTGGGAGGCCCCACTCTGGGGCCCCTGAAGTGTTACCAAGGCCTCCAGTTAGACAGCTACCCAGGGCCCAGCAGGGGCCATGGGAAGGGTGTTCACCATCTCTGGAGGGAACAGAGGTCAGATGACGCTTCATCCAGGAGCTTCCAGGTGGGAGGGTAGCGTGGTGAGGAAGGCCTCTTGCAGAGGCCGGGCAGAGGAAAGGCAGTGGAGCGGTGGGAGCAAGGAGCCAAGTCAGCAGGAGCCATGGTCGGGCAGGGAGTAAGTGGAAGAGGTGAGTAGAGGGGCAGTGTCTGGGGCTCCTTTCCTTGATCTGCTTAGATGGGCCTTAAGGGCCAGTTGGAGGCCGGGAACATGTCATTACCTCAAGCTGCACGGGACGGTGATATGGTCCCCATTGTCCCCAGCAGTGGTCACTCTTGGGATGTAGGGGAAGCCACCCATGGCCGATTTATCCAAGGTGAATGATTTCCAGGCAGGCCCGGAAACCCCAGTGAGCAGGGGCTCAGCGGGGTGGGAAGCAAGGCCAGGCAAGGAGGGCGTGCTAGGGTGGAAGGGCAGGGGTGGGGGGCTGAGCAAGAGTTCTGGCCTGGCAGAGCTGCTAGTGGAGCTAGGCTCTGGAACTGGGAGATGCTGGGAGAGCGGAGCAGTTCCCGGCCATGATAGGCCAGATGGTAGGATGAGAAGAACAGCGAGAGAGATGCAGGGAAGGAGACGAGGCAGGCAGCCGCGGCGCCAGCGAAGGGCTGAGGCAGCTCTCCCAGGGCCTGTCCCCAGAGGAGCCCTCACACATCTGGATGGAGGGAGGCCCGGGCCCCACCGAACGGAGTTTGTAGTCTAACAAAGGACCACAGGGTGAAGGTCTCAAACAATGGAAACCGAGTGTCTCCCAGTGTTGGACGCCAGGAGTCCAGCCCAGGGTGTCTCCTGAGAGCAGTGAGGGAGAATCCGTTCCAGGCCATCCAGCTTCTGGTGGTTGCTGGCCATCACCGGTGCTCCTTGGCTTCACTTCAACGCCAGCCTCTGTCTTCACATGGTGTTCTCCCTGTGTTCATGGCTCTGTATCCAAATGTCCCCTTTTTATAAATAAGGACATCAGTCACTTTGGATTAGGGGCCATCACACTCCAGGATGACCTCATCTAAATTGAACTAATTACATCTGCAAAGGCTATTTCCAAATAAGGCCACATGCTGAGGGCCAAGCGGTTAGGACTCCCAACACATGAATTTGGGGGGCTCCAACAGTTCAACCCCTAATGCTGACTGAGGCAAGCCAGGAAAGGCCTCATGTGGGCGTCATTCGCAGATCTTCCAAGGACTTCAGAAGCTGGTAGGTGGCCCGAGGACAGCAGTCTCCCTGCCCTCTGACCCCCTCCTTCCCATACACATCCCTCCCCGCAGCTCAACTGGCCTTTTTCCACCAGCCAGTGGATATCATATGATCGGCCAGTTGAGGAGCCTGAGGCCCTTGACGCTGAGCCTAGGGATCACAGTGGCATCTCCGTGGCACCCTAGCATCCGTGGGGGCAGTGAGAGGGCTTTGGGGGGGCAGCTGGAGTTTGCTGTTCACCTAGAACTCTAAAGAAAGCACCTTTCCCAGGGCAGTTCCTAGAGGGAACGCAGTTCTGTTGGGGAGACCGAAAAGCTTGGATTGTCAGTGAACTGGGACGGAGGGTGACGCTGACCACGTGGCTGCGGCAGAATAGACCCTCCTCCTGCTGGCCCCGTACTCTGTGGTGTGTGCTGGGGCCTTAAGGGACAGGCTGGGGACTGAAACAGGCATTCGATTAGGGCTCTGGGTGCTGGATCTCATTGCTCAGACCCTTCCATCCCTTCCGAAGAGGCCAGGAGAGCCTACCCACCAGCCCCAGCGTGCACCCGGGTGTAGGTAGCTGTCAGGAAGGCCACAGGTAAGAGGAAGGGGGCCCTCGCCCCCCTGGTTACCACATGGCACTGCCTCCGCAGGTGGAAGATGGCATGCACCTGCTTATCACAGGCCCCAACGGATGTGGCAAGAGTTCCCTGTTCCGGATCCTTGGTGGGCTCTGGCCCACGTATGGCGGTGTGCTGTACAAGCCCCCACCCCAGCGCATGTTCTACATCCCTCAGAGGTGAGTGAGACGTGAGACGTGAGACAGAAGGAGCCTGGGCCCCCAGCTCTGCCCCTGCCCCTTCCAACCTGTGGAGCCTGACACCTAGGACATGGCAGAACTTGGGGCCTCAGGAGAGGACAGTAGGATGCTGCCCCCAGAATCAGAGGGTCTATGGAAACTCCACCTGCCCCCGCCCTGTCCCCCCTCACCTGGTGACTTTATAGCTGTTTGGTTATGCATGCGTGAGCGTGCACACTGGGGCTGGGGCATGTGTCTGTGTGTATAGGGTGTGTGAGTGCACGTGCAAGTGAGCATGTGCCTGTGTGCTGTGTCCATGCCCATGCGCGCGTGCCTATGTGTGCAGGGTGAGTGTGTGGTATACACATGTGAGCGTGTGGGTCTGGTGTGCATAGGCAGGTGTGAGCACTGCCTGGAGCACTTGGTAGCAGGAGTCTGTGGGCTTCGAGTTAGCCCTACCTCCGGCAGCCAGGACTCATGGCACAGGGCGCCAGCAGGGCCAGCCCTTCCCTTGACAGACATGCCGCTTTCCCACAGGCCCTACATGTCCGTCGGCTCCTTGCGCGACCAGGTGATCTACCCTGACTCAGTGGAGGACATGCGAAGGAAAGGCTATTCAGAGCAGCACCTAGAAGCCATTCTGGACATCGTGCACCTGAACCACATCCTGCAGCGGGAAGGAGGTAGGGGGTGGGACTTCTCACCTCTCAGCACCAACGAGTGAGCTATCCAACCAGCAACCTGCTACCACCCCAGCCCCTGCCTCCTTCTTGGCCCCCAACATCCAGGAGGCTGACGTGCTAGGTGCCCCAAGAGCCCCCGCCTAACAGGACTGACAGGAAGCAGGTGGCTCGGGCAGCCAGACTGTGCTAGGGAAGGGAAGCCAGGTTCGCAGGCCAGGGGCACAATCAGGTGAGATGCTCACAGCAGGCTCTGGGGCGGGGGCTCCCCCACCTCGCCGCTGGTGCGGGGGGGAGAGGGGAGGGAGGGCCCTGACAGGGAAGGAAGCCCTTGGAAGGCTTTAGGCAAGGAAGTTACAGGTCATTTTTGCATTTCAGCAAGAGGACGGACCTCAGGCGGGCATGGCAGGGCAGCCAGGGAGGAGCGAGCGCAGGCTGTCAGTGCTCCTGGCCTGGAGGGTGGGAGGCAGGAGCAAAGGTGAAAGGCACACCCCGCTTCTGCCTTGAGTCTGGGAGGTGCCATCTCCTGGAAAGGAGAGGAGAGAGGAACAGGCTGGTGGCAAGCGAAGGCATTGGCCAGAGGCTCACCCAGTTTGTCTGCAAATGCCTGTTGGGCCTGGAGGTGACAAGGAGAGGGCAGACCCCAGGGCGGGGCGGAGCTGATTTTCTTAGTGAAATCTGCGTGGCAGGGTTCTGCTTCCTGCCTCTGCCACTTAGGGGCATCTTGACTTTGAGCAAGACCTCACCTCTTGAGCCTCTCTCCTCCTGTGGAAGGGGACAGGTGCCAGTTCCTCCCTCAGCACCAGCATTAAATGAAATCACTCCTGTGGACCCTTCCCAGGTGTTGTGGCCTGCACCACAAGAGGGCTGCAGGTGGCGGGGTCCTAGTTGCCACAGTGACAGTCACGCAGCTTCATCCCCAGCTTCCTCCTAGCCTGGCCAGACCTCTTTCGCTCCCGCCACCCTCCACCTGGAAGTGTACCCTTCCTGTCCTCCAGGCACCCCTGAGTGCCTGAGGCCCCTGAGGCCAACCATCACAACCTATTAGCATTGAGTTCACTTGTGAATAAAAGGACCCCCCACACACAGTGGCTCAAATCACTCACAAATTTATCTTACTGTGACATAGAAGTCCCAAGGAAAGCAAGCCACAGGGAAGGTGGGCCCTGCTCTGTGTGACCCCTGTTACCAAAGTCACCTCATGGTCCAAGATGGCTGTTCCGACCATCACATCCTATCCCAGGCCATAGGATGGAGGAAGTGAAGGGAAGGAGCAAAGGGTATGCCAGCTTTCTTGTAAAGAAAGTTCCAGAAGCTGCCACGTGTGGAACACTTAAACCCCACTGGCCAGAATTCAGTCACATAGCCATATACCTCAAGACAAGCCTGAGAGTATATAGTCTTTTTTGAGGGCACCATGCACCTTACCGAAACTTCTAGTCCTATGGGAAAGCAGAGTGGCAGGAGGGAAGGAGCCATTTCTGGTGAATCATCCACACACCTGCTCATTCACGCAGCTGCCTGAGCCTTGCCAAGGGTCTGGCACAAAGCAGTGATACAAAGGCCTCGTGACTATGGGTGAGAAACCTTCTGGAGAGACCATGCCAGCCTTCCTGGGCCCAGTTTTCATTGGCACCCTGTTAGGTCCTGTATAAGTTTGCTGTGGCTGCTGTAACAACATCCCACAGACTGAGCAGCTTGAGCAACAGAAATGGATTAACCTCCAACTCTGAGAGCCGAAGTCCGAGATCAACATGTAGGCAGAGTTGGCTCCTTCTGAGGGCTATGAGGGGAAATCTGTTCCAGGCCTCGCTCCTTGTGTCTTCTTCTCCCTGTGTCTCCTCACATCATCTTTCCTCTACGTATATCTTTGTGTCCAAATTTCCGCTTTTTATAAGGACACCCATTATATCAGATCAGGGCCCACCCTAGTGACCTCACTGTAACTTGATCATCTCCGTGAAGACCGTTTCTCCAAATACAGTCACCTGCAGTCCTGGAGGTTAGGACTCCCAGGTATCTTCTTCCGGAGGGAATACAATTCTGGTCTCAACTTCTTTTTGACTATTAAACTCTCCCCTACAGACAGACAAATACCCAGAGCACACATAGCCAGCAGTGGACCTTCTCCAGAGTCTGAAGTGCTGCCATCTCCCACTGTCATCTGTTCCCCAGCCGCCACCCACCATGCCCATCATGCCCAGTGCTCCCGGGCCCTTGAATTGAAGAGAATCCTCTCGTCCCTTGCCTAGGTTGGGAGGCCGTGTGTGACTGGAAGGATGTTTTGTCAGGGGGCGAGAAGCAGAGAATCGGCATGGCCCGCATGTTCTACCACAAGTGAGTGGGCTGTCCAGGGTGCCATGGCTCCCTTGGGCACTGGTTCCTCTCCAAGCCAGTGGCAGAGACAACACGGCAGCTCGGCATGCGTGCTCCCTGGGGCCTCCTTCGGGGGGAGGCTCTACCATTAAACGGCCCCATCTGGGCCCCGGCAGGGATTAGGCCGCATGGGGCTGGGCGGCGGGGGGGGCGGGCATTAGGGCCAGACCAGGTCGGCAGCAATGGAGAGTCCACAGCCTCGTCCACTTGGTCCCCACTCTCAAGGCCCAAGTATGCCCTCCTGGATGAATGTACCAGCGCCGTAAGCATCGACGTGGAAGGCAAGATCTTCCAGGCAGCCAAGGATGCAGGCATCGCTCTGCTTTCCATCACCCACCGACCCTCCCTGTGGTAGGTGTCCTCCCTTCCTGCCTGGAATCTAGGGGAAGGAGCGCCCTTGCCGCACTCTCCACCCTCGTGGCTTTGCGGCTGGGGAGGAGAGGGCCCTGCCATCGCAGGGGTGGAGCACCCAGGGCGGCCCCGCGTGCATCTCCTGATGAACAGCCTCTGCATCTCTGTCCCTGTCCCTCTCCTGGCCCAGGAAGTACCACACGCACTTGCTACAGTTCGATGGGGAGGGCGGCTGGAAGTTCGAGAAGCTGGACTCAGCCACCCGCCTGAGCTTAACTGAGGAGAAGCAGAGGCTTGAGCAGCAACTGGCGGGCATTCCCAAGATGCAGCGGCGTCTCCAGGAGCTCTGCCAGATCCTGGGCCAAGGCCCCAAGGTCCTGCAGGGTGCTGCCACCTGACAGAGCGCTGTGGCTCTGGGCCCACAGCCCTTGCCCCTCCCCGAGCCCTCGGATCATATGAAGGAAACAACAGTGCCTGCCTACCCACTCAGCCCCAGCCTCCACCCAGCCCCACCACAGGCCCACCCTGCATGACCTCCCCTCCTCCCAGGCCTCCTCCCGACAGGACTGCCCTCCCGACAGGACTGCCAGTGGAAGGGTGTGCCCGATCCTTGTGCCCCGGCCCTCGAGCAAGTAGACATGGAAGGTCCCACCCTGCTGTCCACCCCAACGCCGCCCCCTTCCCTGCCCCACTGTAACCGTGACCTGGGCAGGGGAGCTGGGTCCTTTCTTTTCTTTGGGGAGGGTAAGAGGGATAGGAGGTAAGCCCCAGCTCACACTACCAGACAGTTTGTACTGAGCCCTGGCATTTGAGGGGTATTGCCCTCCTGAGACTGAAGTCCCCCTTATTTCCCTCTCCTGAGCCCCTCAGAGACCTCATGGTCTATCCCTCTATTGCCACCACCCAGGTGGCCGCCAAGGCTCCCGCCCCCCACTGGATGCCATTCTTACCATAGAAATGACCAGACAGGACCCACGGCCGGACTGGGCCCCTGTCCGCTCCCCTTCTCCCCTCCAGTTGTCCCGAAAAACTCTCGGGATGAAGAATTGCACAGCATTTCTTAGTAAGTGAAAATAAGAATGTAGTCCCTTTCCCTCTCGGTCCCTACAAGCTAATTTATTGGATCCCTGTTTGTAGCCTTCTCGATTGCCAACGTGAGGACCCTGCTAGCAGGGGAGGCAGCCCAGGCTGCAGTCCTTCCACAGGTGGCCCAGCCTCTGAGCCAGCCCCAGCCAGCCCGTCACCCCACCAGCCTACACTGCCAGCTGCCGCCAGGGGCACCCAGGCCAGCCAGAGGGGTAGATGCACGCTGTGCTGCCAGGAGTACGGGCACCAGTGTTCCCAGCTCAGTGCCAAAGAGGGGTCAGCCAGGGAAGCTGTCTCTGCAAAGCTAGCTCCTGCCCGAGAGGGAGACCCCACTGCCGCCGTGTGCCTTTCGGGGGAGGGAAGGCTCAGCCCTCGGGCTGGGGAGCCTCCCTCAGTCCCTCAGTAAAAACCTCCCATGGAAAGTGTGTTCTTGCCTCCTGGCCTCTTTGTCTGGAGGGGCTTCGGGGAGAGACAGGGATGGGAAACACAGTGCCTGGCAGGGGAGGAATCATCCCAGCTCCCACCCTCCACCTGAAGGCACAGATCAGCACAGTCTGTGGCTGACCTGATGAGACGGTGTATTCAGCAATAGCATCTCACAAAAATATTGGCTGAGCCCAAATAGGATTCTGGACCAAGCCTGGCCGCGGTGCTGGGGTAGGGAGGAGAGGACCAATGCTGGGTCTGTGTATAAGGAGCTTCCGGAGAGACAGTGTGGGAAACCAGGGAACCAGGAAGCGGGCTGACTGGGGGAACATGGGGGAGGAAAGGTCCTGGCCCGGCCTGGCAAGGGCAGTGGGGAAGAGTTGTTTCTAGATCTTCTAGGAGGAGGAAACACTTGTACAAAGGGCCAGGAGTAAATCGGAAGCAAGACACGGGTTCTTGATGCAGAGTGCAGGGGAAGGCAGGGACAAGGCCTACCCTAAGGAGCCTGAACTTACTCCAGAGACAACAAGAAGCTACTAAAGAGTTTTCAGCAGGATGAAAGAACTTTAAGCACATGGAGTTATGCTTAAAGCGGGCTGTGTGGAGAGTTGTTTGGAAGGAGGCACACCATTAGAAAAAGAATGAAGTTCTGACCCGTGTTACAACATGGGTGAACTGAAAAAACATGATTCTGACCGAGGAGAAGGAGCCAGTTACAAAAGACACATATCGTATGAATCCATTCCTGTGAAATGTCCAGAATAAGCAAACACGCAGAGACAGAAAGGGGATCAGTGAGTGCCAGGGGCCAGGAAGGTTGAGCAATGCAGAATGACTGCTAATGGGTACAAGATAGCCTTTTGGGAGAATGAAAATGTTCTGAACAATAGAGGTGATGGTTGCACTAAATGCCACTTAATTGTGTGCTTTAAAAGGGTTAAATTTGTGTTATGTGAGTTTCACCTCAAGAAATAGGTGATCAATGATTGATTGCTTGATGATAGAGGACAGATTGATAAGTAATAGAGCGGAGAGAGAGAGGGGCATAGATGAGCGAACACGCCACCTTAAACAGCCCAGACAAGCTGCGCTGAAGCCTGAAATCTCTGACAGATTAGAGAGATTAGAAGAAAGGCAATAGGCCTGGGGGTGGGGTCAGACGAGGGGCGGGGGGTGGGGGATAAAGTCAAGATGACCCTTGGGTTCTGGCTTGGGTGGCCTGGTAGAGAGGGATGGCACCCTTCACTGAGAAGGGGGGTCAGGTTGGGGAGAAGCCGTCACCCAGTTAGCATTTGCCGGGCCTGGGCCTGCAGCGCCCTGGGAAATGATGAGTAGGCAGTGGCCAGGGAAGTTTGCAGCTTGGATGAACTCCAGCCTGGAGATCCTCCGAGGGGGCATCGGGCTAGCAGAGAGGTAGGTGGTGGTTGAAGATCTGCACAGACAGCCTGGGAGAAGGAGGCTTGGTCTCATGGCAGCTGTGGGATGGGTGGGAGATAGGATGCATTTTATCCAGATTTTGAGGTTAAGGTTTGTTCTCGATTCCAAGAGAGGTGACGAATGGAAAGGTGGTGAGTTGTGGAGTTGTTCCTCCATCTCTTCCCAAGATTGCGTAAGTCATCCCTGTCTGATCGTAAATCCTTTTGTTCAGGAAAAAAAATTAAATAGCTCAAGGTTCTGTGGTCTGCCACCAAACCCTAACTGATACGGATGGAAAGAGACAAACCAGCAAATACCATACACAAAGAAGTTAGTGAAGAGAAATTAATATAAGACAAAGTAGACCTCAGGGCAGAAATCATTATTAGGAGTAAAAGAGGTTGCTGCATAATGATTAAAGAAATAATTCACTTGGAGCATTAACCATTCTGAATGTGTGTGTACCTGCCCAATGACAGAGCTTCAAATGTATATCGAACAAAAAAGTAGCAGTAAAGGGGAAAATTAATAAATCAGTGCATCCACCACAGTGAATTACACCACCTGCCACTACAATTGGCAGCTCAAGTAGACAAAGCCAGTAAGAATGTAGAAGGCAACGTGAACAAGCTTGATTAACGGGCATTCCAAAACTAATGACTACGCATTCTTATCAAGTTCACCTCAAATATTAACTATAACCCACCATGTCCTAAGCCACAAAACAAATCTGAACAAGTACTAAAAGAACTGGTATTGTACAGATCGTGTACCCAAGCTGCAATAGAATAAAATCATAAATTGATAATAAAACTAAAATTAGGTTCTCCCAAATGTTTGGAAATTTAAATTTACAAATTCAAATGTACAAATACATTTCCAAATGATTGGTCCAAGAAGAATGATAGTGGAAATCTAAAAACAGAACTGAACAACAATGACAAAACTATATGGAAACTTATGGGATGTAGCCCAAGCAATACTTATGAGGAAATGTATAGCCTCAAGTGAATAAGATGAACACCAACTCAGGAAATTAGAAAAACCACAATAGAATAAACCTAAAGAAAGTAGAAGGAAGGCCCTGGTCTAGTAGCTCAGTTGGTTAGAGCATCATCCTGATACACCAAGGTTGTAGGTTCAATCCCCTGTCAGGGCACATACATCAACCAATGAGTGCATAAATAAATGGAACAACAAATAGGTCTCTCCCCACCCTTCCTCTCTCTATAATCAATTTTAAAAAAGGAAAGTAGAAGTAAGGAAATCACAAAGAGAGCAGAAATTAATGAAATGGAAAACACAAAGATCAATAAAACCAAAAATTGACTCTTTGAAATTAGTAAAATAGGCAAGTCTCTGGCAAGATTGAAAGGAGAGAACATAAAAATTAACGATGTTCAGAAGGAAAAGCCGAATATAACCATGGACCCAAGAGCCATTTCAAACATAATGGGAAACTTTGAGTTAAGCATGGGAGCTTGAACACTTGTGTGGTCCTTGCTTCTCAAAACACCACGAAAGTGACAGTAAGGGAGTGACAAATGTAAAGAAGAATAAACTCACCAAAGAAATGTAGAGGAGGACCTCTCCAGGAAAATTCTGGAAACTGGTGGAGGACTAGAAGAGCAGAACAAACTTTAAAACAGTGGTGGGAAGCAGCCAGCAGCAGGGACTGGGTTTGCACAGGAATTGGAGGCACCAGATATCTCAGAAGAAGAAAAAAAGTGACTATATGGTGGGGGTGGTAGAAGAGAAGAATCGACTGAAAGTCTGTATAAGAAGCCTCTAACAATCACACAAAGTGTAAAAAAAAAAAAAAGCTTCTAGATCATGTATATACACATATTATATATGATACCTGACAGATGCACACATCTTTGTCCCACCTTGTGCAGAAGACCAGACTTTATTCTCTGGTGAGTTAAAACAGAAGGTCTGTGGAAATGCAAATTAAAGCCAGAGTGAAGTATCCTTTTATTCCCACTAATTGACAGAAATTTAAAGAGTCTGACAATACCAAGTGTTAGCAGTACTATGGAGTAGCAGAAACTCTTACACTATGGGGTAGAGGCAGAGGAGATGTAAACTGGTACAACCACTTTGGAAAACAATTTGGCATTATCTAGTAGAGTTGAAGACATGCATATTTATAACCTAACAATGTCATTCCTGAGCACACCCTGGAGAAGGTCTTCCACAAATATGCCAGATTACATGCACGAACCATTCATAACAGCATTGTTGTTGTTGTTGTTTTTAATTTTATTTATTCATTTTTAGAGAAGAAAAGGGAGGGAGAAAGAGGGAGAGACACAGAAATGTGTGGTTTCCTCTCACACGCCCCCTGCTGGGGACCTGGCCTGCAACCCAGGCATGTGCCCTACACTGGGAATCGAACCAGTGACTCTTTGGTTAATAGGCCGGTGCTCAATCCACTGAGCAACACCAGCTAGGGCCATAACAGCATTGTTTGTAATAGGCAAGAGACGGAAACCACCCAAATGCCTATTAACAGGAGAATAAATGAACTATGTTAGAGTCATACAATGGAAAACTATTCTGCAATAAAAGTGAATAAACTACAGCAATATGTATCAACTTATATGCATATAAAAAATGTAATATGGAAAGAAAGCAACAAGTTACAGAAAAATACATCTAGTATAATTCCATTTATATAAAGTTCAAAAAATACAAATGAGATCATTCATATTTGGGACAAGTATAAAGAAAAGCAAGGAAAGGATAGTGGTTGCCTCTGTCAAGGGAAGAAGAGGGTACCTGGGGGCTTTAAAGACATTGGAAATATCCTGCCACTGACAGTGGGGACATCAGTGTAGCACTTTATCACCATTCTCTAAACAATTCATATAAGTGCTATGTGTTCTTTTGTATGTATTAGGTTGAGTAAAATGAAACTGCCATTTTTATAGGTCAAAAATAGCTGAATGTTAAGCAATATCATCGGGTTTTGACCTATCAAATTTCATAATAAAATAAAACCAAGAGACTTTATGCTAATAATCTCCCTGACTGGTGTGGTTCAGCGAGTTGGGCATCATCCCCCAAAGCCAATGTCTCCAGTTCAATTGCTGGTCAGGGCACATGCCTGGGTTGCAGGCCAGGTCCCCGGTTGGGGTGTGCAAGAGGCAACTGATCGATGTTTCTCTCACATAATCAATTTTTCTCTCCCTCTCTTTCTCCCTCCCTTACCGCTCTCTCTAAAAACTATTAGAATCTTTTTTTATAAAAAGACTTATGCTAATAAGTGTGAAACTTTGATGAAATGAACATGTTCCTAGGAATATATTGTTTACTAAACATTGACTCAAAATTGAAAAATTCACCTGAAAATTCATATGGAATCTCAAGGGACCCCAAATAGCCAAAACAATTCTGCAAAAGAAGAGCAAATTTTGAGAACTCACACGTCCTGATTTCAAAACATATTACAAAGCTACAGGAACTGAAACGGTGTGGTACTGGCATGAAAACAGGCAAAGTAGACCAACAGAACAGAATAGACAGCCCAGAAATAAATCCTCACTTATCTAGTCAAATGATCTTCGA